ATTACAAACAGTGTTGCAATGATTAAATTAAAACTCTATACAAGACTATAAAAATAATGAGGACTAACCTGATGGAGGCTGGAAATCTATTAATCATATTTGTATTCAGGCTTCATTGCACACTTATTTAAAGTAAGATGATAATGCCATGATGCCAGCTACAGGAAGTTAGTAGCTCATTATTTCCATTACGTAAATTGAATTTACAATTTAAATTATTGTTAGGTTTGTTTTTTAATTGTGTATTGAGTTGTATGTCCCTTTGTATCAGAATCACTTCTTTGATAGAAATGTTTGTCATTTCTGTTTTATTAAAAAGTTTCTTTCACAGTATTGTTTTTGATTTAAAATTTAGTTTTTATTTTTAAATGACCTCATCAGCGGGCCAGACTGAGCTCACCTGTGGGCCAGGATGTGGCCCCTGAGCCACCAGTTGAATAGCCCTATACCTTATATTTTACACAGAAATAAATAAATAAAATTAAATAAAAAAACAATGACAGAGACCTCACTACTCCAATTCTGATTCGTACTTTTGATTTGATTTGACATGCAGTAATGTTGCTTGTCAAAAGGAATATGTCCACTAATTATTAGTCTGGGTTATTTCAGTGCCTTCATGTCACCTGGAGCATTATATAAGAAACACAGAATTTTTAAACCAATCAAATTAAGGTTCTGGAGTCAATACTGAGACAATACATCTATGTCATGGTTGGCAATAATTGTTTAAAATAGAAAAAATATTACAATATTTGTAAGCTGAAACATTTCATATTTACTGTGTTTTGAATATTCCATCTGTTCATGTACAGCATGTCAAATAAAAAACTCCCAATCGGTGGATTATATGCATTTATTATTGTTTGTTTGTTTGTTTGTTTGTTTGTTTGTTTGTTTGTTTGTTTGTTTGTTTGTACTTTGGAGACAAGTTGTGATTATATTTCCAACTGTCTTTGAATGTGACGCTAGTGAACACCAAATCTCGCGATAACTCATTAATAAGGCTACTCAAGTGAGACTGCAGGAAGTTTAGCAAGGAGCCATGCTAGGGTCTTACCATCTAACTAACAAAAATACAATAAATTAGAATGATGTATTTCGTTTTTATCAGATAAATAATAAACACTAAAATAAAATTTATACCTCTTTTGGGGTCAATTTCACTGAACACATAACACCTTTACTAAACCACAGTGTTAATGTGTTTGTGGAATAAAACAACAGAAAAATAATGGACACTTTATCTTCTAACATGCTGACACTGTGCTGCTCTTCTGTCTCTATCATTTGAATATGCTGCCAACAGTAAAATAAGGGTGATTGAATGCAGCAACAGCCAGGAGAAAGATGTGATAAATTTAGATTTCCTCTGAATCAGCTGGCTGCTGCACAGAAAAAAAAAAGGAGAAATGATCTGATAAACGGTTGCAGCATAAGAAATGATCAGATATTTTAGACACTTTTCATGACTTAAGAAATTGTGTGACCTTGTGGACAAATATTGTTTAAACTGTTCATTTTAGTTCTTGTATTTATTTTCAATAGTTCTCATTGATTTGATTTGATTTGATTTACTTATTTAACAGGAAAAGATTATTAAAATCAAGCCTGACTCAGCATAATTGCTGTTTTACAGCAGGTTCCTGTTCTGCAGCACATAAAACACTCAGAATTACAGCATCACAATCACATCATTCATTATACACCATAGACACAAAGACAAACAAGCATACCAAATTTCAAAAAGGCAGCATTTGCAAAATAGGATATCTAAATATGAGCACAACAAAAAGTGTCCAGCAGATGGCAGACAAGATTCTTCTTAAAGGGCTGTAGTTTTGAAATGGACTCTATGTTTTGAGGAATGTCATTCCATGCTTTAGTATAAACATAGAAGAAAGACCTCTGGCCGTAACAGTTTTTAAAAGTTGGTAATTTCAGTTGTCCTTTTGTAACAGATCTAGTTGAATGACCACTTCTTACACTTAAGGTGTAGACATTTACATGTTGACTGATATGTTTTTAACAGTGAGACAAATGTTTGCAGAAATACTACAATTAAAAAAACTAATARGATTAGCCATCTAAAGGTGATTCAGACTTTAAATACTTTTTAATAATCCAGCGCAAACTTGTTTTCAGTGGGTCAGGTAGTCTTGTGAAGATGTAGAAAGCTGAAGCTGAAGATAAAAGTTAGTTCATGTAGTGAACCAGGCTATGTGTAAATCAACTATAGTAAAGCGTTAAAATAAAGACAAGTTAGTGCTACAATTAGGGTCAACTAATCCTGAACATTTTTTAAAATCATCTTGTTTTTCAAATGTAAAGGAAATTTATGAGATCTGTTATTTGTTGTGAAGTTTATGCACCAGTATTGTCATAGCAAAGTAAAGGAAATCTTCATTCGTAACCCTTAGACAAAATTTGCTGCTGAATTTTATAGAAAAGGTAAAAAATAAACAAAGTAAGAGGCAGATGGCTGGTAGGCTTACATTGACGGGAGAGTGTAGAGGTGGGAGGCAGATAAAGCTCGTGCAGCATAGAAAAATTCTAATTACAGTTTTGTGTAAAAAAAWTTTGCTGAACTGCACTTTGTTCAGGTTGTACACCCCTTTATCTGTAGAGCCAACTGTCCAACGTCTCTTATTAACAGTGATCTACATCAGAATGTTTACCAGTGTTATTGCTTCATCGGTCAGTGCAGGACCCTTTTTTGTTTTTTCATCTTTATGCCAATTTATGTTCATACTAGTGCCAATGTGTTCATTTAAATATGAAGTAATGGATGCCAGAAGGCAAAATTGTTTCACCAATTACAGTTGAACAAAATCACCCTCAAGACAAAAGTACATTTAACACCAAGTACTAAAGTGACACCTTCTGGGACAAAGCTGCTACTGCATAGTGTCCTCGGCTCCAGTAAATGAGGACACACTAATGTCAATGTAGTGTACAGTTACCATTTTACAAAGAGCTGCGGATACAATTATATTAATTATAATATTATAATGTGTATTAGTTACTGTTTGAGGAATTGAAATTTCTGTTTTGTTTTATAATTTGTTTTATCAATGTTTGAAATATTTTTTTTAATTTAAAAAGGGGTAGATATAAGAATTTTTTTTCTTCTGCTGCTGCCTTTCATTTTATTTGTATTGTTTTGTTGTGTGTAATGTTTGTTTGTTTTGTGGTGAAATGAATAAAATCTATCTATCTACAGTATCTACCTGTATATAATGGAGCCTAGGCGTAAATTCAGACTGGAAGACTTTCCCCGCCTCACCTGCCTCCCGACCTGCTGCGTCGAGCGCCCAGCTGCCTCCGTTCGTCTCAATCCCAGTCTCATTCAATCAGCTCCTGTCTGCCAGTGCATAAAAACCAGTCAGCTCAATCGCCCCGTCCACATGCCAGCTGACCTTCAACCTACCACCACCTCTCCTCCACCCTTCATCTTCTGAAGGGGGTGCACCTGATCCAGTTCTTCATGTCTCCTTCCAGTCCTCCAGCCCAGCCGGTCGAGGCAGAAGGCCGCCTGCCCTGAACCTGGTTCTGCTGGAGGTTTCTTCCTGTTATCAGGGAGTTTTTCCTCTCCACCGTCGCTCAGGATGAGAGTCTGTGATGAAGTGATTCATCGCAACCTGCTGGCTTCCTCTTTTTATTATTTATTTTTGACCTCCACCACCAGTGTCGGGCCCCGGGGGGGGGGGGGGGGGTCAATTCTCCTACCCCTAACTCAAAGCATCTCGTATGAGATTACAGCTTCACTCAGCGCTCTCATCATCTACCGGGGTCCGAGCGCCAAACTCTAATGCTGTTTATGTCAATAACCATGTGGTCCAGTCACATCAATAAACCTCCTAATTCCAGTCTGTCTTGTGTGAGTCTTTCCAGGTTGAAATATTAATTAACCTACAAACAGGGTGGATCTTTTTATGATAGTAGCTGCCACACCTGCCAAGCCATGGTGTTGAAATGGAAACAGTAAAATATGAATAACAGGGGGTGGGGGAACACACTTGCCAGTAAGTTTGATTGTTCCTTGAAAACCCAATGCCAAAAGAATCTCTGTAATGTTTAACTCCACCCAAGTGTTTGTTTTWTCTCTCTGCCAGTAAAATCAAGGGTGATGCACTTCCCACACAGCAATTAGGCCTAAACATTGTTTTTTTATTGTGATTAGCCCATTTACATCTAAGCTTAATTTCCATATTCACACACACACACACACACACACACACACACACACACACACANACACACACACACACACACACACACACACACACACACACACACACATATTGCTTTAGTAAAAATACATAAAATGTCTTGTGAGTAGATAAATACTTTGCCCACTTTTATACAACACTTCAATTTTAACATCTGGAAGTTATTTACAATTTACTGAATGCTATAGTTCACAATTGTAAGAATTATATTGTAATTTAATTAAGTCAAATGTATTTTGAGTGAACATAAAGTTTAGATTTTGATAATTCCAACACATGTAAATGTGGTCTTTGTTGTTGTTAGTTGTTTCCTGGACTTCTGATGTCCTCTAACAGGTTCTGTAATTACGGTAAGAATGAACCATTTCCTCCTTCAGAAAAAAAAAACTGTCAAAAAAACAATTTACAATATTCATTATTAAACCACTTCAAGAATATTTTTCTTTAATAAATAATTTCAACCTGTTATTACGTAGGTTAGTAGGTTAAAGAGACATTTTAAAGGTTARGTTTTAAACAACACACTTCCTGAGAACTAGCAAAAAACCCGACGTGTTTACGTCATGACGTTATTACTTGAAACCACGCAGACCATCTACGTCCCTCCTATGATCTATATTTACGTATATCCGTGGGAGGGACTAGTAGTAGGTGCAGATGWCAGACCATTGAATCAGATAGGTTGTCTTCGGAGTGAAACCGAGCGTGTTGAAGGTCCGGTATGCATTTTTTATATGATTTATTTAAACATTAACATATTTATAGCAACCTTAGCTATGTATTTAGCCACACTTGTTACTCATATTGCTACTTTTTCTTCCGTCTRGATTCGGAACCGTAGCAGATGCTCTGCTCGGGATCTAGTCCCACCATGTTTGAGGTGAAAATTAGCGCGTGTCCTCTATTAAATAATAATGTTTAGCTGTTAGTCTTAATAATYTCACTGTTTTAGCCTCGTGTTTGCTTAGCAGGAATGACCTATCAGACATAATTGTTTTAGCTGCAAATAATCACTGGAAAAAAAAAATCAAAAGGTTTTAGTCGTAGATCGGGCCAAAGTCATGACACTGCGGCCTGAGTGTGCGTCCTCCTTGACATTTAGCTCCAGCACTGAGGCTTTTAGGATTGTCATTCATAAAATCACAGCAGATAAACCAGCGAATAAAGTATTGGCTTTTTTTCTTCATATAATTACACATGAATTATGATTTGTGTGCGTGTACCGACKCTTTAATTTAGGCCATCAGAAGTTTGAAAATGGTTTATAATCTTAAACATTGGTGACAACAGAACAAAAATATCTTATTTTTGCACAAACAAAACGTATGTGTTTGAATGTTAACATATATAGTACAAAGTGATGACCCTTGTTTGTTATTGTAATTTAAGCATGTATTTGCCCATTTGCTGCATTTTTCTTGCAGGGTAATTTGAGTTGTGCAATTATAGATCACTTTGATCAGTTTGCGTTCTGGTAAGCTTTCATTTCTTTCTGCTATTATTTTATTGAACTAACGGTAGTTATGAGATGAATCTAATTTGAGCCCTTTTTGCTGAACACGGCACTTTTAAGGTCTCAGTTGCAGGACTGCAGTTTTCTGCAGGCAGAAACTCCTTGATAACCTAAACTAGACAAAGATAAACCTAAAGAAGCATTTAGAGTATGCAACCAGTAAAATAGGAAGTACAAATAAAGTGTTTGCTTAGAACCTAAGGCTTTTACCTGATATCAGAATTTCTAGAATAGACACTTCATCATCCTCCTGTTCAGGAAGGAAGACATTCTGTAGTGCTGATTTTAGGTTTTGCAGGTGTTGCACCATCCAATGATTAATATAAGTAGACAAACCTGAGAGAAAATGAGGACACTGTGGTTTGTCAGTTAAACAGCATTCCTATAAGTCACGTTCACCTTAAATGCCCTTCCTTTTAAAGCAACAACATACGGCAGATCTGTGCAGTTTTGTGATGTGGAAACAGAGGAGTAAGGGTATTCCTACAGCTAAAAGGGTCAAATGAAGGTTGAACCTTGTTTGATGGAAAAACTTTCAAACGTGATCAAAAAGAAGAACCTGTTTTGGAGATTTTTAATGYTTTTTCAGCCAGTTGAGCAAATGTTTAATTTCGCTGAAGCAACAATCGGTGACAGATTTATTTGAGGTTTTCAGAGGTGTTTTCTCTTAATAAATCAAAGTGTGGTCTCATTTTTGTAGCCTTGCATTTGCTCTAGAAGCAGCTTGTGTCATTGTATTAAATTATGTGAGCTCCTCTTTATCCAGTGTTTGATCAGAGTGAGATAAAACTGGAAATACAGCTTTACTCAAAACAAGACCACACAATTTAAGCCCGATGAATCCTGTATACAAAGCACTGGGAATGAAATCCACACTCAGAGGCTGATTTAATCTTTTTTATTTTTTTTTTATTTTTATGAATGTCCTATTTAGCTTCATGACTCAGGAAATAACTGCGTTTAGACAGAAGCCCCACCCCGCATTTACTGGGAAACCAGCACTGCCTTGCCTCACACAGCCGCACCCCCTCCCCTCCCCCCTCCATCAAAGCTTTCATCTCCGCATGTGTTTGTAAATTCATCTTTGTCTTTTATTCTCCAGATTAGCAACAAGAAGAATGGATCGAATCAGGTCGGCTTTCAACAGCATGGTGAGTGTTTGTCACGTTTTATTGCCTGCTGACGATTGCAGTTGTGTTTTTGTGCTTGTGTTATTGTGTTTGTAAAATATATATATATATATATTACCTGATGGGTTTTAATGAAACTTGATCTTGCCCAGATGAGGAGCGAGCGGTACAGCAGGTTTACTTTGCACCCGGGGGAAAACGGGGAGCGACACGCCGAGGTCAACCTATCTGACGATGTCACCGATGATGCCACAGAGATGGAGGCGCACGGATCGCCGAGCTTCAGGCCGGCTCCAGTTCAGCGGCGCCGACYTACTCTTGTCTTCATGATCCTGGGGTTCCTGCTGATATTTGTTTCTGGTTAGTCTCATTTACTCCTATTTTGAAGTGAAACTTTCACATCTATTCGTGGTATGTGGTTTTAACTGTTCGTATGTTGCTCTGCTCCTCCCCTGCCTGTTTCTGCCAGCTGTCACGCACCTGTGTGTGGTGGCCAAAAGAGGGGAATTCTTGTACATTTTTAAAGGAAAAATAGTCAGCTATTTGTGTTTTCTTGCCAGAACTGATATCAGATTGTGATAGTCTATCACTCATTTTTCTTTATAAATTAAAAATATTTTTTAAACAAATGTTTGCAACAAGCTATAGAAATTAGCATAAAATGCACAGTCTCCTTCAGACGTCTTAATGAGGCTAATAATGTGACTAATAATAAACTAGCTAACATTAATTTGTCAGTCTCCCAATGTTACAAAGAAGGGATTAACAAAAACATGTCATATTTAAAATAACAAAAAAGCATATTTACTTTGGAAATAAAACAACTTTAGCTTAGATATAACTATGTCCTCTATTTTTGTGRACATCTGTTTAAAAACAAAACATTAAACAGGATAATTCAGTTAATTTCTCTTTATGGCGATCACGCAGTGCCGTTTTTCATCTTGTACATCCTGTTATTCATGTTTTTAGAACCCTCTACTTCAGAGTCACACTTTGTACAAACGATATGTTACAGAACATAACGTTGACAAAGAGAAGAAAAGGTTTTTGTGCAATTCTGTTGCAAAACTGAAAAGGCATTCAGAAAATGTTGCAGCATGCATCCTCCTTCAGACCAGTACTTGTGTGGGCAGTTTGACTTCAGAAAGCTGAGAAATATTTCTTAGCTTAAATAAATCAGTTTTCAGTCACGCATAGARTTTTTTGCCATCAGCTTTCTTAGAAAATATGTCATCCAGATATTATTCTAGCATGTTTTATGTATTAATAGTGCAGATGGAACTAGTAGCAGATGTGAAATCAATGTATTGTAGTGTTTGGTCCTTCTTTTGCTGCTAGCTCGGAGAACATAACTGAAAGACGAGCTCTTTGTGAAATCATTTAACAGGGAACTAATGATTCCTGTGACTGTGTGCCCTCCAGGCTACCTGGTGGGTTACATCAGCCACAAGAAACCTCGATCGAAGTTGAGCTGCGAGCAGCAGCTGGATAATCAAATGGACAGGACGAACGAAACAAAAGCCTCTGCGACATCATGGCCTGTACCGCCTCCAGATGTCCAGCTGACCTGGCAGGACGTCACTCAGCTCCTCACAGACAAACTCACCACTAAGGCCTTCGAAAAAACTCTTGGGTATGCTCATTTTCTGCACACATTCCGACGACACTAAGTGTGAATTATGTTGTGTTATATTTATGTTGAAGCTGAGAGAGCACACCTTACCGTGCAAATACCAACATTTAGTCGAGCGTGCTGGCAAATCGTTTATCAGGAGTAAATATSTGCTGGTAAAATGTGCAGGTTTGTTAATTTTACTTTGTCATTAAGGAGGAAGTAGTCACATTTGAATATGATACGAGGCTGAGATCYTTCCCAGAAATCTACAGGAAGATGACAGTCAAACCTGTTTCTTTTGTGTAGAGTCAAAGGGTTAACCATAATAGTTTCATGGTGTCTTGCTAAGTCATTTAAAAATAAATACAAACTTAAAAACAAAAATCTTAAATAAAAAAATGCTCTAAAGCGGATAGTATCAAGATTCTGTCTTAATTTTTACAAGTTAACTTAATTTACTTTAGTCCTGAAGTAACAATGTGATATTCTTTGGTTTAAATGCAACCAAAGCTCTTTTACATAAACTGTCTTTTGAGACAGGGTGGGGTTACTAAACTGTTTACTCCACTTTTCCTTTCAGCTCAGTTGGTCATTTTTTATATAGTTGTATTAACATGAATTACCTTTAAAGAAACGAGTGCTCATCTCGACAGTTACCAATGACTGCCACAGCAATTTAAGCTAACATTACCAAGGTTTTTGTTTCTTCTTCTTCTTAGACAGTCTTACAAGTCATGAGCTGAACTGGTCCATTATCTCAAATCAAAATGCCAGGAATGTGTAATGATCTGTTTGTGATTAGAGTTTCTAGTTTTTCTTTTTTTCAACCAAATATGCTCTCAAGTAAGTGGAAAACGGCATTTAGTAGGACTTTATTGTCCACAGATGATCTCATTATTTTCACTTGGATAGAATTCCTTGCATAGTAAAATAACAACAAAAAAACTAGCACACAAAGTCCTGCACCACTTGTTTCAGCTTAAATTTCCAAGAACAAAATAAATTACATGTAAAAAAATAGCTGTTTATTTAGCAAAGCAGTCTTCTGATGTCTAACATGACTAAACTGAGACCAAGCAAGCTGGAAAGTTATTTTGTCTCTCCGCAGGGATTTTGATCGTCCCAGGCGCTCAGCAGGAAGTGAAGAAGATATAAGTCTGGCGAACCACATCTTTGATACATTCAAACAACTGAATATGGAGCCTTGGACAGACCGCCACTATGTTCAGCTGCAAACGCCAGACAGGTCAGCACCACGGTCTGCTTTCCATTACAGAGAGGGAGAGAGAATCTGACATGTTGCTTCTGTCATTTATGAACTTCAGTCTTCAGCATGCTATCATGGGTGGGGATCAAGTTGTGATATCCTTAAAATCTCTTTAGAACTCTTACATGCTAAAGCAAAATATTCATTAAAAGTTGTTATAAATGTTCTATACATAACCTATGTACGTTTTTGTTTGTTTAATTGACTTAATCTTTTTCATTATATATTAAATGTTTATTTTAGGGATGCACGATATATCGGCATTAATATCGGTATCAGTCCGATATGTAAAACTGGGCCGATATTAACGTCCGATATTGATTTCCTACTTTTTAGTTTTGTGTTTCTGTTTTGGGAGGGGAGATGGTTGATTGAGCGGCATCAGATTGATCATGATAGCGATATTGTCGTTGCGCAGCCAGGAATAACTGAAGTAGAGCCATGTCAGAGGTCTGGTCGTTTATTTACGGTATCAAAAGAAGACCCAATTGTGTTTGTGCGTTTTATGTGTAATATCGCTAAATATCGGTTATCGGCCATAACAGCAATAATTATACCGGATATCGATATCGGCTGAAATTTTCATATCGGTGCATCCCTAGTTTATTTWTTTATTCCCCGGTAAGTCTCTGCTATGATGATACTTTGTAATGAAGCATGCAAAATAAAGAAGGTGTTAATGGTTTTACCCTCTTCTTTGCAGCAACCTCCCAAATTCTATCCAGTTTGGTTCTGCTACATTTAAACCCGAGGGGTATTTAGCCTACAGTGCTCCTGGCAGAGTTCAGGTAAGTCAGAAATGAAAGAAATCTTTTAAATGTGCTTAACAAAATCGTTTTTTTTCCCCCAATGAAAAACTTAAACAGACCTTTGGACAGTTTGTGTTACACAAATACTATTGGAGAATTACAGTAACTTGGAAATCTGATGAGTTAAAGTTTTTTTCAAGTGCACATTAGGCTACCGGCAATGAATGCATAAATAAAACATGTTTTAAAAGAAGTATATGTTCACATCTATAGAATATCTGGAGAAAGGTTTTGTGTTTTCAAATTGTGGCTTTTTGATCTTAATGTGAAACTTGTTGATAATGTCTGAAATTACAGATCAAGGGATTTTTGACTGGTGTGGCACAGTCTCTGATTTGTTGCCATGTTTGTCTCTGCAGGGTCGACTGGTATATGGAAACTATGGTCGTCAAGAGGATTTGGAGTTGGTGCAGAAGAGCATTGACCTGAATGGTAGCGTGCTGCTGCTTCGGGCCGGAAGTATCAGTTTTGCACAGCAGGTGGGTGCGTTTGTGGGCTTGTGTTGACAGGGGACAAAAACATAACATTATACTGTCCAAAGAAAAGCAACAAGCGCTGCTGAGAAATGCTCACAGTGGAAGGAAAACTTTCCAGTTACTTAATGGTGTTTGACAAGGAACTAAATGCTTGTTTTGTGTTTCTGGCTTTGCTCATTTAGGTGGACAATGCTGCCAAAATGGGAGCCTCTGCTGTTCTAATCTACCCCGATCCTCAAGATTACGAAATGGTTGCAACCACAGAACTTTACGGACATGTGAGTTTGTGACGTGTTAATTCAAATAAGTCAAGAAAATGCTGACTTGAAAGTGTAAAAGCCTTGTTCAGATTGTAAGCCTGAATAATACGCTGAAAATCGATTAAGCTCTAAAGACTTAATTTCACTCTGAGCCTGTCTGTCGCTTCTGAGGTCTGAACAAAATGTCTACCGATCACACATCCTCATAATATTCATAGAAAATCTGATCACATCCCTTGGGATTTGTCCCTCTTACGTCAGCATTGGAATGCCTGAAATGTTGAACATTATGTTTGCACTTACGATGAACAATCAAAGTATTAAATGTAAGATTCAGTTAATCAACCAGAAAATATCCAACAAAAGTATTCACTTTTCTGTATTTTTTTCCTCCAGGTTCATCTGGGCTCAGGTGACCCCTACACCCCTGGATTCCCCTCCTTCAACCACACCCAGTTTGCCCAAACTAAGTCATCTGGTCTCCCTAAAATTCCAGCTCAGACTATCACTGCCAGAAATGCTACAACTCTTCTACAGTAAGATTCTTGTGCACAAAACAGGCAGCCTTTTGCAGATTGATACAATTTAACTGCYATTAAAATTCTCCATCTGACGTTTGCAGGAAAATTGGTGGCCCTAATGCAAGCAGTGGCTTTAAAGGTGGGATTCAGTCCATGACCTACAAGCTGGGAGGCGTTGAGATCGTCACTGTTGAGGTGAACAATGTGTTGGTCAACAAGGAGCTCCACAACGTGTTCGGCGTGATCAAAGGATTCACTGACCCTGGTACAGCTACCATTTTTTTATTTTCTGTGTGGGGTTATCTGATTTCTACATCAAATGTGTATTGTACTGAGAGATGTTTTTGCATGGAACTGCAGATCGTTACGTTGTACTGGGAGCTCAGCGAGATGCCTGGGGTAAAGGTTACGCCAAGGCCGCCGTCGGCACCTCTGTGTTGGTGGAGCTAGCCAAGGCGTTACATGACATGGTGGAGAAAGGTCAGAAATGATTGAAAGCTTAGTCACTGCACTAATTTGCAACCATTTGACCTATTTATATAGTGTTACAGAAAACTATGAAATGAGTGTACTCACTTTTTATCACTGTACGTTCGAAGAAAAGAAAATGTTAGTGTGACGAAAGTGTCTCCTCCTTCTGCAAGAACGAACATAATACATGAAGTCTCTGATTGCTTATCTATCTTTCAAAAATTTCATTAGATAAGTTTGTATGTTTTTAGATGGCTTTAGACCCAGAAGAAGCTTGGTGTTTGCCAGCTGGAGTGCTGGAGAGTWCGGAAGTGTTGGTGCCACAGAGTGGTTGGAGGTAAGCATTACAGTTATGAGAGAAACAGCACCAARATGTTGTCATCAAAAGTCCTAAAAATATTTGTTTGCAGGGTTACATGTCCTCGATTGACAAAAGTGTTATCACCTACATAAGTCTGGATGGAGTAGTAATGGGTAAGAACGATGCACACTTGCATAATCATATATTTGTTAAAAAAAAGTTTGGTAATTAATCGCATGCCTCTGGTAGGCCGTGGAAGCTTCATAGCCTCAGCGAGTCCGCTGCTCACCAGTCTCATTGAGAGGACAATGAAAGAGGTAAAACACAACTTAGCAGTGAGCTGACTATGATGCAAAACAAATTTCAGCTGTACTGATGTTAAACTTTTTTTGTCTTTTTTGCAGGTGAAAATGCCTGATTCTGAAATGATGTACAAGATGATGGGAGAAAATAAATGGGAGGCCAAAGTGTAAGTAGGAAACTTGTGTCAAATGTCAAGTACAAATAATTGGAATTGAGAGACCTTAATAAAATAATAATAATAATAATAATAATAATAATAATAGTAATAATACATTATTTATAAAGCTCCTTTCAGGACACCCAAGGACACTGTACAATTGAAAGAAACAAATCTAGATACATTGAATGATAGGGTAGTGCGGGATAAACTTAGTTCTTCTATTCCAACAATGGGATTTGCTAAATGGGATACAAAACAAGACCTTTAATCAGAATCAACCTTTACATACTTTATAAATACAAAACAGCCTTAAATAGAAAATGTTCCTACAATAAATGAGTCTAAAACTTTTCTTTACTGATGGACATAAAACATATTTTGAGCTTTGTATTTGAATTCAGTTTTACAGTTAACGTGCTCCTGAATATTCTTACTTTCACACTTAAGAGAATTGAGCTACATTTGCAACATTTTACATGGAATACTGCCTTTAAAGGGATCCACGATTAGTTGTAACATTAGACTTTATTTGATAAACATTTATTTTAACTGTAAAATAAAGACTGTGAAAATACTGTAGACTGTTTAGTTTTGTAAATTTTTAAAAATATATTTTAACACGGAGCAATTTTATTTACACACAAAGCATTCTGGGTAAATGATGACGTGGATAGGTCCTCGATGTGAGCGAGCTATATCCTGCCTTTAAAGGGATCCACGATTAGTTGTAACA